TTTCTAATGACGTTGGCTGCTAGCGTTCTCGCATTTCAATTGTCCAAAGCTGATTTTTTGATCTCAATAATATATTGATAATCATGTATATATTAACTTATTAGACAATATTGAGGTTTTTGTTCAGAAATATTAGGTTTTTACTTCTTTGTTTCATAACTTAAATAGCAGCCCACGTATGAACATACATTAAAATCACTTCTAGCAACACCGGTTCGAAATAATGAATTATGCATAAGCCGTCAATTAGCTAATGTTTTTTTTTTGTTTTTCGTGTTTTTTCATATATAGATATACACATATGTATATACATATGCATATGTATATATCTAAATACTTTCTACAGTAATTTATTTAAATATATAATATTATATATAGTTCAAATATTTTTATTGTAACTGAAATCCCACTGAATTCCTTTAAATTAGCAGACAGTAAAAGCTTTGTTTTAGTTTAATTTTAGTTTGTCTTTTGTAATATCTTTTTTTTTTAATTTATCGTCAGAGGTTTTCATACGAGGATGTATGTATGTATGTTCTATACATTGTAAGTGCTCAAATTTGCATATTTTGTCACCATGTCGGCATTACTACTAACTTCTCTAATTACCTTGGTGTAGATGTATACAAAGTAGGACTAATTTAAGAAAATCTATATGAGTGCGGTTTTGTTTTAAAGGGTGTTTTTCTTTTTAGATATCTGTTTTCCGAATTTAATAAATGAACAAAGGTTTAGTCTCATTACAAAGAGAAGGGTTTGCCATTATATTTTATAGATGATTTCAGGCAAATGACAGAATATTCTATTCTGCGCAGACAAGCGACTTCACATAGTTCGACAAAAGATAATCCATCGATATTAAATCGCACGATCGATCTTTATGACCATGCTACAGGCCCCCGATGCGAGATGGTCTACTCTGGAAAGTTACCTTCAATAAATTGATTCTGTATATAAATTGACCAGTGTCTCTTTGTTATTGTCGGCGTCTAAATCGTGGCTTGTAGTTTATCATCAACTCAAAATACCCATTCAATCAATAGTGAGCTTCATCGTTGAACAAAATTTGTAAAACTCATGAACAGGGGCTATTTCTCTCATTTTGGGTCTAATCACTGAACTGAATGACTGCCGGATCAATCCATAGCCTAAAAAGGCCTGAAACTTGAAAGGTGTATTCTGCGTATGACGTAGACAACCGACAAGAAAGGATTTTACGGAGGTGGAAGATGAAAAAATTAGAAATTGGTCCTTATTGAAATGCAGTCCACCTATTTGCAAATTCTTCATATTTGCTGGAGTATGAAGTCAGCTGATTAAAAATGCCAACAGCTGATCAAGGCGCAGGGTTGCATTTTGGTGGGAAGAAATTGATCGAGAAATTGTGTTTTGCTTATGTTCATAAACATTATTAAAAATTAATGAAAAAATATTTATTTCTAAAGCTTAGAAGAGACTATGTGTATTGATTTTTTTTATTCCTTTTATTTCTGTATAATTTTTGCGTCTTTTTTGGGCGCGCTCTGCTCCTTTCATCTTTGCCTGTGGCCTTTGGAAATAGCAGACAATTTTCGTTCTTTGTCTTAGCTTAAATTTAATTGTTCTCCGTCTTAAATGGTCAAATACACGAATAGCCTATTGACCAATCGGTCTACTTTGTAAAATGTGTAATTTGCGGTTTATATGTATGCCTATCTGCTTAGGCTAGCTCATCGCCACCCACACTTTTACTACCAACAATCTTTTCCGATTCAACATTAAACAGCTGTGAAGCTCTTTGTTGTTTATTTTTAATAATAAAATATTGTCTGAGTAAAAAAAAAATTGTATTTTCTATTGCCTTGCCGCCTTTTTGTTAGCGCTTCCTCTCTTTCATGGCCTCTCTGAATTTCCACCGCCCACCCGACATTTAATTTACTGCCAAAAACAAATTGCCTACAAGCTGACTTGACTGGCTGACTACTGCTTGCTGTTAGCTGCTTTATTAAAATGAAATGAGCAATGTGAATTCAGGAGAACTCTCTTATTCATTATTTCGAAAAAAAAAAAAAAATCACAAGTCATCAGTCACCAGCCACCAGTAAAGCGTTTTACCTCATTTCCGTCACATTTGTTGCGGCAAAAAATTTTGTTCTACAATTTCTTTCTTAGTTCTTCGCAGGGTAGTGCGTGGCGCGTTTCCAGCTTTAAAATATATTTAAATATTTTATTAATAAAACCATCTTAAAGTTCTGTGTTCTTCGAATTTTCGCTTGTTTCTAGCAAAGAATTATGTCAAAATGTAACTACAATTAAATTAATTAGTAATTTTCTTTTTATAACTAACTATAGTCATTTATTTTCCTTTTTATGCACAATATTCGTTGGTACATACATACATATATGCATGTATGCATATAGTGTTTGTTATTGTTGTTCCTGTGTGTATGCTACCTGGTGCTGCCTCAATTTGGTAGTTTTGCCAAATCGTTGATAAAGTGTAATTAGAAAGAAAGAAAGCAGTGCAAAAGAAAATTTGCATTAGATATTTGTGAAAAATTATGCGAAAATCGTATTGCATAATTACTCGCTTTCTGCTTAAGATATTTACCTACATACATACATACATATATTATATATATGAAGATTTCAACTGTTGCTCTCAACTCATACTGTGTGCGCTCTTGCAGTTGTTTAACATACATATCTACGTCAATATTCGTATATCCCAAGTGATATATGTATATATATACTCTTATGTACGTACATATATCCATTTGTACATAAGTATATACTTATGTGTGTTTATTTTGGCAACATTCTGAGTGCGGCGATTATAATTTTTAAATATTTCTCTCTTCTTTTGTTTTTTTTTTTGATCGTGATTCTTTAATTATAAATTCTTTATTGTTTACATACGTTTGCATTTATATATTGAATATAGAATTATGTGTCCTATACTTAGTTTTTTTTTTAAATTTTCGACAAAATCAAATAAACATGCGTTCTTTTGAATTCTTAGAGAGCGTATATATGTACAAGAACTAAAAAGTGAAATATTCAACTATATGCATATATGCACATACATATATACATAAATGCGTACATACTAGAGCTCTAGATACTTGAGTAGCGAGCGGTGCGATTTTTATGATTCTTACACCTTGCATAGATAATTTTAAGTTCATAAAAAAAGTGCTAAGAAAAAGTTTAAATTTTCGTACAAAATGCTCAAAAAATTCGGAATTCCTTGAGCTCGTACTCGAACCAGAAAATGTTCGAACAAAATCTTCACCACATACAAACTTATATGCGACTCAAGGTGTTATATTGATTTATTTGAAAGAAAAAAGTCTATTTCCAAACATATTTGTTATCAAAAATAAAAAAAAAACTATTTACTGTCTCAAAGTCACTTCACATTTGAAAAAGAATCTCTGACAATTTCAAAGGCAAATATTCATAACTACGCCATTTGTGACGTCATTTTCAGTTATCTCTTGAAAAAAGGGCTGTCTATGTTGGCAAGAGAACTCATGACAGGATCAACCGCAGACAGAGAAATCGTGCTTAGTTATATGGTATTAGCTAGATATCGGACGAAGGAAAATATAAAAAAAGAAAATCTTATTTTTGGCAGATTTTTTTTAAGATGCAAATTTTGATAAACAACATTTTTTGTTTAAAATACATTTGTAATTATGATTAAAAAAAATAGCACCATAATTCGTCAAATTCCTCGTGAATTGTATCTCGAAGATCTGTGTACATTTTCATCAAGATCGGTCGAGTAGTTTGCGAAAGCTTTTAACCACCGACTTTAAAAGCTGTATATCCTAAACTTTTCTTCAGATCGTCTTAAAAACTTTGGCATAATAGACTCGGAATATTGTATAAATTAAGAAGACAATAAAAAAGTTCGATATTTTGAAGCCCATCTAACCCCTTAAGGCCTACGGTCTGGTTCCTCCAAAAAAACGTGTATTTTTTTTTTAAATAAATTTTATTTATTTTAAAGAAAAATATTTGTAAATCAAAGTTTTTGTAGATAAGTAGACTTATAAACATTTTAATTGAAAACAATTTTTTTTTAAATGGTGGCTCTTAAAATTGCTACTGATACACTTTCTTTTTGTTGTTGAGCGGCACGATAATTGTAAAACAAATAATCTGAAAGCAAAAATCAAAACATTTTCTTATTCTGTAGCACATTGGCTGTGACCGGTACTACAATGAAACATTTTCACCAAAAAAACCGAAATGGCGGATTTTTTAATTTTTTACCCTTTTTCATTTTTTTTTCGGTTGTAGTACCGACCATAGAAATGCATTTTAGGAGTAAAATGAAGTTTAGTTCATGTTGAAAAGTTCTAAATAAGAGTGTTACCCTGTTGAAAAGACGTCTTTTCGAGAAGGAGGCTATTAAAGTACTCGAGCGGCCGGATTTACCGCTGGGCGCGCTCCGTTCTCCGCTGTAATACCTGCTTCTTGGTCTTTCGGACCTTCGGGACTAATTCTATATTATTTCTAAGAGTATTTTATATCCTGTAACCTAGTCTTAAACGATTTTTAGTTAAACTTCTAATCCGATTATGTTAATAAAAATAAAATATAATTTTAAAAAATATTATTTTATTTTTGTAAAAAGTTAAATGATTTCCAATATATGCTGTGAGTAAAAATCACGTTCATCCATACCTAGTACTGGTATTTCATTTATTTTTATAATCTTAGTTTCATACTTGACCAAAAAGTCATTCAACCTAACCTCAAATAGAAAAAATCACAACCCAAAAAATCTCTAATGTTCAGGATAACAGTTTTTTTCAGTCCTTAAAAATGCTTTCTGTGCACCGCTTTAGCAGAAAAAATCGATTTTTGAAAAATCCTGTGTTTTAACGTTTTTTTGATTTAGATAAGTAAATCATATTTCTTCTAAGTAGATTTAAAAATAGAATAAAATGAAAGAATATTAATTTAACCCCATTAATAATTTCTCTCCTTTCATTTTCTCTTTACAGTGGAGTCTTTGATCTATTGGCGAGATGTCAAGAAATCCGGCATTTTCTTCGGTGCTGGTCTCATCACCCTCCTCGCCATCTCATGCTTCTCCGTCATTAGCGTATTCGCTTACCTGTCATTACTGACATTAGCCGGCACAGTGGCGTTCAGGATTTACAAATCAGTTATGCAAGCCATACAGAAGACACCCGAGGGACATCCATTCAAGTAAGTACAAAAGTTGAAGAGTTGGCTAAAGGACTTGTACATATAGTGTATTGGCTCTAGAAGGGTTATTATTTGTGGAAATTTCGGTACAAATAAGATACTTACATAGTGCAAGTTTATGATCTATATTACTGTTTTCGAAAAAATCTAAAAATTTTCAACATTAAGAAAACAAATTTTTCGCAGCTTCACATGAAGCGATTAATAAATAATACAGGGTTTTCCAATAAGAAGTGTCATTTTGATATTGAGATAAATGATCGCATGCTTATTTCAATGTAGAGAGGAAGATATGGCATTAATAATGGAAAGCAATATCAGGTAAATGACCGCCACGCCACGCCTACGATTTTTATGAAATTTTCCATCACCAAACCGCAAAGTGGCTGCTGTATACCCTCAATAGCTTAACGAATTACATCTATGAGGTCGTTGATTCGACGTTGGCCTGTGGGCGTTGACCTTATCTTTCACATGGACCCAAAGGCAGAAGTCACAAAGTGTTAAATCACAAGATGTCGGTGTCCAATTGGTATCACTTGTTGCTTGTGTGGCACTTTCCGTTGTCTAGTTGAAAGTAAACGTCCAGATCAATATCATCCAATTGCGGCTAAAAAGAATTTGTAATCATCGCTCTATAGCACAATTCATTCACCGTAACTATTGTTCCAGTCTCTTTTTCGAAAAAGTAAGGTCTATAAATCCCAACCAATAGTTACATGTTGAGGAGGTGAGGTGAAAATTTTTCAATGAAACTTTTTTAGTTAATTTTAATAATATATTTGCGTTGTTAAAGGGTACATCTTTCCCTTTTTTTAGTGACGTAGTTTTTACTTGTCAAATATCAAAAAATTACTGCTTCAAAAGTTACATCTACAGAAAAAGCAAGCTATTCAGAATAACACCTCTTATCGGAAAAGCCATTGTAGTGCTATCGGTTCGCATAATACCAAAAATATAATATATTAATTAATTTCATTTCTTTTCCTCCTCTATTTTCACAGAGAGTACCTCGAAATTGATTTGACTTTATCACAAGAGAAGGTTCAAAATATCGCTGGCGTTGCTGTGGCACATGTAAATGGATTCGTTGCTGAATTGCGACGATTGTTCCTCGTGGAAGATTTGGTTGACTCCATTAAATTCGGTGTTATTCTGTGGGTTTTGACTTACATTGGCGGTTGGTTCAATGGCATGACTCTGGTCATTTTGGGTAAGCAGAATTGTTTTTTCTGTGATGCTTTTATACAAGATCAGGCATTAATTAATATTCATATTCATATTTTACTTATCAATTCATTACAGCCTTCGTCTCACTCTTCACCTTGCCAAAGGTGTACGAAAACAATAAACAATCAATTGACACATATTTGGATTTGGTACGAAGCAAATTGTCTGAAATCTCAGAGAAGTGAGTAAAAAAAGAAAACAAAAAAAAAAACAACCATGAGTTTTTATATTTTCACTTTACTATAAATATTTCTTATCTCCCCTTTACAGAATCAAGGCCGCCATTCCAATTGGCAAGAAACCAATTGCTGCAGAAACAGACAAGGACAAGTAAAGCACTTACATTGTACATGTATATGCGAAACAAAAGTAAAAAACAACAACAACAAAATATTAACAGCAAATTTTTAAATATTGTCATTGCAATTACTAAAACTTAAGTCAAAACTCGACAACAACAACAACAACTTAAGAACTTGAGTAAAAATGGCGCACACACACACTCTAACACATTTTAGACATTTTACGCCGGAGAGAAAAGAAAGAACATCTAATGAAAGCAATTATTAGAGCAAGCAAACAGATGTAGAAGATGTGTGTACGTCCCCGAGGAAGTGGAGTATAATAAAATAATAATGCATTCAAACAGTCTACACAAACAATATATAAATAAATTCAAACATCAAACACACAAAGTAATCTTTGAATAACGAAAAATCTTAAACAAAATAAAAGAGAATAAGAAAAAAAAAATCGATAAAACACCACATCAGTAAGAAAAAAAAAAAAACTAAAAACAAATCAAAAACCAAAATAAAAAAATTTGCTATAAATTGTATATGCTTAGAAAACGACTAGCTTTGTTCTGTATACATAATTTCGATGGGAAATTTTTAGTTTTATTTTTACTGAATTACATTGATTGCAATGCGTCAAATTTGTTTTTATTTGCTAATCATTTAAAATATTATATATGTATTATATAATAACTACAACAAAACTCCTAACTAAACACAACAATATACATATAAATATATTTGGCACACAATTGGTTATAACCTCAATAGATATTTTTTTAAATAATAATAATGCTTATACTTTTTTTGGTTGTATATGTAAATGTATTTTAAAATGATAATATATTTTATATAAACTGTTAAAAAACCAAAACAAAACAAAGCAAAATATATTCATCGACAATGCCTATTAATTTAATTATTATGTTTATGGACTGTTTTCGATTAATTGTAGTTATAAAATGAAGAAATAATATTTATATTTCTCACATCCTTGGTTACCAGTTAAGATTTAGCCGAACAATATACAGAAAAGAAAACAAGAAACAAAAAAAAAAGATAAAAAGCTAAGAAATCGGATTGAGAAATGTGTCCGAAATTCTACTGATGATATACATATTTATCTATCGTATGTATGTATTAAGAGAAATATGCACAGCGGACATAATGCGTTTGTTTTCTATTTTAGATCTATGAACAAAGAACAATTAAATTAAAACTAAAAACGAAGGAAAACACATACATACATACATATTGATTATGTTGTTATATTACGATTAAAAAATAACAAAAAAAAGTAACATCTTAGAATTTAATGAATTAAAATGAGTATATAATAAAATCAATATTTCGAATGTCCAATTTTCATTTGGTTTTCATTGCTGCACATTTTGATGGATACACGACTCTGGTAAACTTTCATATGTAATATTTTGTAATTCACAACAATCATTCAATGAAAAGAGCAATCACTTGAGAGGAAAAAAAACAACAACCAAATCATTTAGGGGAAATCTCATACAATGTATGTATATTTGTACGTTTTGATCCGTCACTCATCTACAACTAACGTTAAATAAATAGCTAAACACATTATAAAAACAAGTAAATATTATATAATAAAATAGAACAAATACTAAAGCGCTTTTTTATTTAATATTATTAACCATACCAACTATAATTGCATACTAATGCACACAAATATAATATAAAATTAGTAGTTATGTATTTTGCCTTTTAAATGTGTATGTGTGCAAACACTTCTTATTAAAGTGTAACAAGCCTTTTTAATGACAATTATTTTCCTATTAAATATGTACGTATGTATATTATTTTTATTATTAGTGTTCATATTTGAAACTGCGCAGCAACAACTTAACTATATAGGTAGTGGCTACATTTCTAACTGTAAATGTTTAGAATTTGGCAAACCTACATAACCATACATATAAACATACATACAGAATAACTGCGAGCAGCACTAATTTGAAAGAACGCTGATTTTAAATAAATATTTGTTGCAATTTTCTAGTTTTGCATATTAAAAATTTTTAAATAAAATTCAAATTAAACAAAAACAAACTAAAAAATACAACTGTCATTAATTAATTTCTTCTTAGTATGAAGAATGCTTTTTATTGTTTTTTAACATGACAATAATTTTTTTTTAGCGTTTTGCATGTACTATAATTCTTAAAGAAAATTGTGTCTGCAGTAGAATTCTGCAAGCATTTTATGGTTCGCAGGCAATGTTAATACCTTCGAGTGCATTTGTAACAGCTTCTCCCGCAATTCTGTCATCTGCTAGGAGGTGCCTTCAGCCAAGCTAAAACTTCAACATGAAAGTTTGCTTGATCCATTAATTCATTAATAAATATGGAGTAATATACTAATAAATATTTATATTGCGTATACTAAATGATATCACTTAGTTATTCATTATTTTAACAATACATCAGGCAGTTGTAAACTTTTCGGAAACACTCAATTGACAAAGACAAATCGCCAAAAAAAAAAAAACATTCGAATAATAGATTCCGCCAAAAACTACTATCACTACATAACGAGGAATCTTCTCTAGTAAATGTTTCATAAATAAAGGATGTTCCAGTTGCCGGAACTTAGCGCAGCACAAATTTGTCAACGACCACTACAGGGTCAACTTGAAAAAAGGCAACGAGAAAAATCGTGAAAAAATGAATTAAAGGAATTAGTTGTGATTTATTTGCTTGTTCGGGCTTAATGTCTGCTTGTTGCCTTAGAAGTCTACGATGATTATTCTTCTCTTCATCACTTGAGCTTTTTTTCTATTTAAAAACCGGTTTTTATTGATTTAAGCGAGCTTCACAGCTTGAATATATGATTTGAATATCATAAACTGAAATCCCATTATTTCACAAATAAATTTCCCAAAACATAAAAATTTTCAGGCGAGACCGTGGCCGACATTCAGCGTAGGGCTGATTGCTTACAAGGAAATATTGCGATAGGTCTAGAACTTCGATTTCATTAAAAGATAGCGGGACTTTATTTTATTTTCATGATCACTTGATTACTTAACATTTTAGTAATTTTTATTAATGAATGCTTTTCCCAACTTCGGGTTGTTTGAAAATGACCTCTTACAGCGTTTGTGTAAAGTTTTTGTGAAAATAATGGTCTTTCAGTATCGAGTTTTGATTTTGTTATTGGACTTACTTCGCTAGGAAAAGTAAAGTAAGTCCTGGCGACGATCACACATATCCCTGGTCATAAATTTTTCACTCTGAAAGTAGCCCTGGCGGCCATTTTTTTTACATGCAGCCACAGCCACGGTCGCTGCCACTCCAAACACCTACTCCAATCCACAGTTTATCAATAATGTTATATATAATGTATGTAGGAATGTTGATTTTTTACATTTACTTTGAAGAAAAGGATGTGTAAATAATAATAGTTAAGAGTCCTGGTCTCGAGTCTTGACGAAAGCACATAAAACATAACGGAAGAGCTGTCGGTTGTGTGGAAGACATGTATATGTTATAGTCGTTTGGTAGTGTTGTTGTTGTTGTAGCGGTTCGCTAACCCCGCTTAGGTACAGGTTGGATCAATATAAGTCGCCGAGGTCATCTAGTGGGAGGTCCAGGAAGCGTGCTGTTTCGACGGGATTGAACCAAAGGGAGAGGAGGGTTAGATAGATGAGTCGGTTTAAGGGGCATGTGAAGAGGTGGTTAGTGTAGTGTGGAGACTCTACTCTCTCCGCCGAGTGGTTAGCATAGCGTACGGACATTCGGAAGGCTCGGGTTGAACTAACTCAAAAATTGTTGCTTACAAACAGATGGAGCGTACCATTTCATGTTCATGAAGGCTATAAAAAGGCGAACAAGTTAGGTTTTGAACTTGGTCGAAAAGGAGTCAAGCGAATTGTACTCTCTTAGATATTAGAAAACCATAATGGTAGTGGGAGTCCTGACAAACACTGCCTCATAGGACACCATACGATTTGTCATCCTTTATGCGGCTACCCTGCCGATATCTAGGAAATGCCTTCATTGAATACATCATCATCTATTAGCAGATGTCAATGTAAAAAGGCTAAAAAAAGTATAAGAGAATCGAAGGCAATGGACTGTGCAGCGAAATGATTGAGCCAAAATCATGATGTTTCAATAGACCTCCTCTGACCTAAGTGTATTGATACCCCAGTGTCAATAGCCACACCTACCTACCTGTCCTCAGTTCAGCGATCTCTCAAAATGATAACGGTTTATAAATCTTTAAATTCTCGAATAAATTCGAAGGTATTTAGTGCTCACTAAAACTATAATATTCACCCAGTTCGATCTTTGTCGACTAGCACCTAGCGATGGCGAATACCCTAGATGATGGGGCAATAATAATTGCTCAAGTGTTGCCTATAGCAATTAGGAAGAAGTAGAGCTCGTCCGATTTTGGCCAATCACATTAATACTCTGTACTTAAGCCCCAAGAAATGTGTTTACCAAGTTTCGTTAGGACATTTCATAACGTGTTAATGTTGTTGTTGTTATAACCATAAAAAACATAAGAATGTTTCCAACAAATGAATGAGTTTTTTGCAAAACGTTGCGGGCATCCTTGACTTTGGACCAAAAGGATAAACATTCAACCGCCATACCACGGATAACTTCAAGATTTTGGAAGTGGAAGTACATAAAATGTCACGGTTTAAAGGATTGAACTCCACAAAGGACTTGCAATGACAAATCACAGTATTCTTCGATTAGCCACTCTGGAGTATATTGGAAAAGTTAGCTTGGAGTGGAGATAGCTAAGAGATTGAAATGAAATTAGTTTCTAAGGAAGGCGAAAGGAAAATCTAAAATCGCACAACTCAATAACTGATAGGTACCTTGCGAATTGTTTGGAGTTTATGCCAAACTACGAACTCCCAACTCAAGAGGCAATACGCTTATGTCAATTAACCAATTGAGTGTTGGCAGCGAGCGCCATCTGTTGGCGCCTTCGACCACAAAACAGCTGTCTTTGACTTTTGGGCCTTAACAAATTAACATTAGAGCGCGCTCCACTCAAGGCATATCCAAACCAGCTATGCTCCCCTCCAACTGCCAGATACTAACACAACAGAAACAGAAAGTGTATTCTCAGATGAAATGGGTTTCGCTTTTCATGGAGGAATGCATTATCCATAGATATAATGTAATGAGTCAGGCGTACTCCATTAGCGTGTCGGGTGCTCTTAATTCGCTGAGTGAGAAAGTCGGCGGCTGGCGGCTGCCGACACTGTGTGTCCACACATACATCCATACATACAGACGTGCATGTTTATAAACACCACTAGCTGCTTGTTAGCGCGTCCAACTGTATACGCATGTATGACCTTCTGACAAGGTGACCGATGAAATTTCTTTGAGTTCGAAGAGAGAATTTAGTACTAGTAGTGAGGACGGGTGGAATGGAGTCTCTAATACTAACTTAACTGCCTGGTTTAATAGGTTATCATTAAACGGATCGGGTGGGATGAATATGGAAGGAACATTTTACTGATTAATGTAATTGAGAATTTCATTTATAAGCAGATATTTCTACCCCAACCGGTTATCAGTTGACGAACTCTACTGCCACTATAGAGCACCACAGAATAAAAAGAGCCAATGAAAGAGTGTAAGAAAAGTATTTGATAAATAGAGGAGCGTAGGTAAACGAGAGAGTTTGTTATTAGAGCAAAGTGTAGCGGCAAGGAGACGAAACTTATTTTTGAGGGCGAGTGTGTTGTCACCGAAGAAAAAGTTTTCGCGCTGAGAAGTACTCCAGAGCTCGTAGCAAACGGTAGTCGTTCGTTGTCATCTGTGGTCGTCCAATAAAAATATAAATATACATATATAATCGTCGTTGCCTTTCCACTACTACTACGGTGCGGTACGGTGTGCGGCTGATCTTGGATCAGATTTTTTTCGGTTAAGTAATAAATCTACTTGTATTTGCATTAATACAAAGGAACCAAAGAAGGAAACCGTGAAATATATATCTTATTTTCATATAAAATTCAGTATTTAAAGTTAAATAATTAAGTGCAGTTAAAAGCGAAGAAAAAAGAGAAAGCAAATTTCGCAATCATGTCGAGGCCACAAACAGATGAGGAACGTCGCAAGCAAATCAGTGTGCGCGGTATTGCCGAGGTCGGCAATGTCACGTTGGTCAAGAAGAATTTCAATCGTCATCTGCATTACACTTTGGTAAAGGATCGTAATGTATCAACTATGCGCGATTATTACTTTGCCTTGGCCAACACCGTGCGCGACAACATGGTCGGTCGTTGGATTCGCACCCAGCAGATGTACTATGAAAAGGACCCCAAAGTAAGTTGAACTAAGAGAGCAACATAGCAATTGTTGAGCTACTAAATAGCAAAGTGAACTCGTGTGTAGGTCATATCCTTCCATCTCCTTCTATTAATGACTTAATTGTGTATCCCACGGCAGCCGTCAACAGAGTCAGTGATGCTGAACTGCTGTAATTATACCCGGTGTCCAATTGCGGGCATCAACCTAAATGGTTAGGTGGTTTGGTTAGACCTTAAAGAAGTTAATTGTAGGGAAATATGAAATTTTTGAATCTTTTGACGGTCGCAAGTGTAAATATGTATGACTGACTTGAATTTCCATTGGTGAATGCATTATTTTACTTCGAAGAAATTAAATACCAAATTATCAATACTCTGAATTTTTACATAATAACCTCATAAATTAGTGTATACATATACACATATGTATTTACACCCGTATATAAGAATAACCTTTTTGTACATGCAAGTGGAGTTACCGATTTGTATTTACCACCTTTTTATAATTAGATAAACAGATAAAGTACATAAATATTTATATAGTTTATATATTTGTACAAACAAATACACAAATTCATATGTCTCCACACAAATTTTATAATATCTGATATCCATAACAACAAAGGAAATCTACCTTTAGTACAGACAAACACATATGCGCCTGTATGAACTTGCATGCATCCTTGCCTTATTTGTGAGAATTTAGGTTTCTGTCAAGGTCAAGTTTACTCAAGTTAAAATATCCAATGTGCTTCAAAATATATTTTGTAACAACGAATGCATTTAAAATAAAATGAAAATGGATAGAATAATATATAATTAAAAACATGAAATAAAATAAATTAAATTAAATTAAATTAAAATAAAATAAAAAAAATAAAATAAAATAAAATAAAATAAAATAAAATAAAATAAAATAAATAAAATAAAATAAAAATAAAATAAAATAAAATAAAATAAAATAAAATAAAATAAAATAAAATAAAATAAAATAAAATAAAATAAAATAAAATAAAATAAAATAAAATAAAATAAAATAAAATAAAATAAAATAAAATAAAATAAAATAAAATAAAATAAAATAAAATAAAATAAAATAAAATAAAATAAAATAAAATAAAATAAAATAAAATAAAATAAAATAAAATAAAATAAAATAAAATAAAATAAAATAAAATAAAATAAAATAAAATAAAATAAAATAAAATAAAATAAAATAAAATAAAATAAAATAAAATAAAATAAAATAAAATAAAATAAAATAAAATAAAATAAAATAAAATAAAATAAAATAAAATAAAATAAAATAAAATAAAATAAAATAAAATAAAATAAAATAAAATAAAATAAAATAAAATAAAATAAAATAAAATAAAATAAAATAAAATAAAATAAAATAAAATAAAATAAAATAAAATAAAATAAAATAAAATAAAATAAAATAAAATAAAATAAAATAAAATAAAATAAAATAAAATAAAATAAAATAAAATAAAATAAAATAAAATAAAATAAAATAAAATAAAATAAAATAAAATAAAATAAAATAAAATAAAATAAAATAAAATAAAATAAAATAAAATAAAATAAAATAAAATAAAATAAAATAAAATAAAATAAAATAAAATAAAATAAAATAAAATNAATCAAATAAAATCAAATAAAATCAAATAAAATCAAATAAAATCAAATAAAATCAAATAAAATCAAATAAAATAAAATAAAATAAAGTCAAATAATTATAAAATAATATAAAATAATTATATGAATTTAATTTTAAAAAAATTCATTTAAACTTTTTGAAATTAAAACTTATTTAATTAAATTAATTCAAATAAATTTAAATTAAATTATGTGAAATATAATGAAATAGTAAAATATGAAAAAATTAAAATATGTTTCGATGAAGATGAAGTTTAATAAATAAAAAGTAAAGCAAAATAATAAGAAGTAAAATTAAAAAATAATACAATTAATTCATTTTATAGATTGTTAAAGTGCTTAATTTCGATTTAGGTGCTTTCGAAAAACCTTTCTTTGGAGTTATAGTTATAACTACTTATAAATTAGTAACAAGGATCTTCTACTCCACCCTTATGAAGGAATCAAATTGTTATTTGGTTGAAAAAGGATGAAGATGCTGGTGTTTCAATTCATATTTAATTTAATTTCAAAATTTCATCAAGAGAAATTTATATCCACCTCTATAACTACGTAGTTTATTTATCTCATCCATATATGGAATTATTATTATGTAAAAGTTATTATAATTGCTAAATAAATTTTAACTAAATTAATTAATTTGCATTTGATTTCACTATTTTTTCATAAAGTTTTTCAACGCAAAAATCTGCAGTGATGTTGTAATACTTTTCGTTTATCTTATTTTTCTATTTTTCTTCAACTTAACCTAAAATTTCTACAGCTCTAATTAAAATTCATTGCTAATTACAAATGTATGTATGTATGTATGCGTGCTTTGCTCTTTTTCTGAAACAAAAACTTTTTTTTATTTATTGACTGTATCTGCTGTTTGTTTAAAATAGAAAACGAAAGAAATAACTAAAATTTACATTGCTATGTAAATGCATCATATCAGTTGTTGTTTTGTATATACGTAATGCAAACTTTAGCACACTGTGGGAATTTTATAAACAAAAATTAAGACAAATTAAGAAAATGTCTAAAGTAAGAAATAGATAAATAATGTATTTTGTAGACACATAGGTATATACAATACATAAGTATCTTACATAGTTTTTGTATGTACATATGTATATTAAAGCAAATTCTCAAAGTGCATATGCAACAAGTCGGCGTAGTGCCAACCTACAACAATAATATTAGCATGAAATATTGTATATACATACATACATAAAAGCCATAGCTGCATGTTTACATTTTATGGGAGGTGCATAAAATATCTAACAGATCAATAAGTGTCTAAATTTATTTGGGAAACACTTTCATTAAAGACAATAAAGTAGTTTTTGTATCCTGTATGCTTGTTTGTATGATATTTAAAATTTATTAATTAGTATTGTTCGTGTGAAGTGAGAGTGTATATGTGTACACGTATGTATATAGAAAACGTATCTTATCTCAAATAAATAGATATTTTAAAGCATGCTCTATAAATGAAATTTATATTTTTAAACGTTTTTTGGTTTAAATTATACTTTGGCATGAACAATTCAATCAACTCTTGATTCAATTAGCAGGTTTGATCAAGTCTGTTCGTATGGACTTTGAAAACATGGTTTTGTATAGAAATTTTATTTTCACAGAAAACTACTTAAATATTTGTTTTGATTTTTAGGCGACCGCAATGCCTATGATAATCACTAGTTGTGTACTAATATTGCAAATGCAGGAAATATCAAGCCTTTCGAGTGCTTTTCTGACATACCAATCAATGCTCCTTATAAAAGTTCATTAGCCGTTCTCGAATGGATTAGTATATACTGTAGGGAACCTACATTCGTTGGGAAAAACATAAAGACTAACACCACAAATTGGAGGAGATATTCGATCGAAAATCAACTTATCGGCTGCAAAGCGCCTATTTTATATACATAAAGTATCCATATTATAGCATATATTCACATACATATACATATATTCCTACTCAGTAACACAAGAATATCGCCTTGTGTGTTTTTTACATAGATAGGATTAAATCTTAAAAACTAATTTGGTAAAACCAAAATTGAACTTTCAACCTCTTGCCAAATTACCTTAGATTTTCTAGATAACACGCATCTGGTTTTTACATATTTTAGACAATGAATTCTTCATCCTCTTTACATTTACTTGCTAACAGCTACCTATTGCATTGTCCATAGTTTACCAAATATTTTTTGGAACATTTTTGTTATGTGGCGGCACTTGCGCACTAATTTTCCACATTTTCAAAAAATTATATTCCAATGATTCCTCCAGTCCGAGAGACGCACTATGACGCGCTGTGCCAAGTTTGCCATTATTTTTTCTCCAAAGTGAATTTGCAAACTTCAATCCGTTTGAGGTAATTTTCGACCACTTTATGGCATGTACTGAGCGGCATATGGCGCCATCTTGGTGAAACCACAGGGATTCTCCAGCCCAAAATGTGAGAATTTTGCTATTACGCTAAATAAAATTTCCCCTTCACCATATTTGTAATGGGTTTCAACCGGAGATGTTGAACAGACGCTACGATATCATTCCGTTTCACTACAAAAAAAAAAAACATAAATGTGGAGACTTATTAGCACTACAGACATACATATGTATTGCGCGAAAAAAACTTCAAGAAATCAATTTACGATCGGAGATGTGCAAAAGGTACAGTGAAGCAAGCGGGAAAAATTCTTGGCAGTATGTAAGGATAGTTTTCGTGTGTGTTTAAGCACCGCCTAAGATAGACAAATCTACTAATCTCGCCAGTTGTGTAAATATGAAACCGGAATTTACCTATAGGTTGCGCTAGATGTCGATGCAGTTACCGACACATACCATCAGCGGTGTCTTGTTATTGTATTGATATCTGATAAAGATTTCCAACTCGCAATAGAACGAGTTTCTTTCAGTAGCAATAGTTTATTAGAAATAAACAAGCCGAGTTTTGGGCCAACAACTATTTTTTTATTTTCTTCTTGTCAGCAAAACAGTTTCAGGAAACGATAGAGTCATTCCGTTGGGAGATTCTTCAGCACGCAGCTTACTCACCGGACCTTGCTTACTACTTGTTTGCATCGACGGGACGGACACGTACTTGCTGAGCAGCGCTTTACTTCCCACGAAGATGTACAAGAATGGCTCGAAGACTGGTTTGTCCAAAAGAGCAACAGTTCTTTGGCGCGAGATCCACAAGCTGCCGGAAAGATGGGAAATAAGCTACTTTGTAACATATCCCTACAATACACGTGTTTTTTCTGTACAGATAGTTGATTTTTGTTAGACTGGGATCTTTATGCATGACGCCTTCAAACCCACAGTAGGTGTGACAAATAAAATAACAAAATTGTATTTGCT